CGGGCCCGCCGCGGCGGCGGCTGCGACCGCCGCCGCCGGTATCGGGTACGGGGCGTATCGATACGCTGACAACGCCGGATAACCGCCGGCGAAGAGCTTGCTGTAACCGGCCACCGCGTTCTGCACCTGCGCCGCCGCCGCCGCGGCCGCGGCCGCTTGCACCTGGGCCTGGGCCTGGGCGGCTACGATCTGCGAGGCCGCCGCGACCGGCAACGGCGGCTGGGGCGCTAGCCGCACGCCGAGGGCGCCGAGCACCACCCTCTTGCCGAGGGCGAGCGCCGACGGCTGCACCGCCTCCTTCGGCTGCGCCTTCTTGCACTCGACTTTCTTGTTCTTGATCGTGTGGAAGTGTATCTCGCATACACGGTCGACGACGTCCTCGTTCTCGAATGTGACGAAGCCGAAGCCGCGGTGCCGCTTCGTCTGCTGATCCATCAGCATCACCGTCTCCTCCACCTTGCCGAACTGATTGAAGTATGCCTTCACCTCGTCGCTGCTGGTGTCCTGGCTGACACCGCCTACGAAGATCTTCTTGGTGCGGTTGGCCTGTTTCGCGCGGTTTTTCGGGGTCGCGTGCTTCGGATCGATCTTCTTGCCATCCAGGGTGTGGATGGGACACTTGAGGACTTTGTCGACGCTGCCGGGCTCGGCGAACGTGATGAAGCCGAAACCGCGGCTACGCTGCAACCGAAATGCCAGAACCGGCACGATGCACATGGACCGTCTCTTACTTCGCGCGCTTCGCTCCCTCCTTTGTTGCCTTCCGTTTTTTTTCCGAATCCCTTTCTCGCTTTTTCTCTATCTTTCTATTTCTCTCGTTCTCTCTCTCTCTATCTCTCTCTTTCTTTCTTTCTTTATTACTATATTTTTCCCTCTTCGCTTTTCTCTCTCTATCTGTCTTTCTATCTCTTTCCCCTTCTCTCTTTCTTTCTCTCTCTCTCGTTCTCTCTCTCTCTCTCTCTCTCGCTCTCTTTCGCGCGATCAATGCTCTCCGACGTCCGAGATATTTTTGCGACTCGATCGAGAGATCGATCGTGATTGTTCGCTTTCGCTCGGTTACAAGACAGATGTTCAGGACCAGTTTTCGCGAGCAGAAATATCAAACTTCGAGGCTTCGGAAACTCGTCATGGTTCCGGACACGCTGAACGGTGTTTTCGATTCACCGGTCGAGCGACGAATCGACACAACCGACGCATCCCGACCGATCGGTTGCGTATAAATGTTACGCGAAATCTCAAGGTATACAGTTTAACTCTATTTCATATTTTTCGCCCGAGAATATCGCGAAAACTGATCCCTTCGCCTATCGTAAACGGTATATCGCGATATATATATATCCGTTATACGCGCGAGAACGTTCCGTTATCGCAAAAAGTTCTATCTTTCATCACACAAAAGTTATCTTTCCTTGAAGAAAATGGAAAAAAAGAAATCCTGCCGTCTGTATGATTCTCGTAGCTCTTTGTTATGAACGGTTAACTAGTGCTACCAAACTACCATTTGCATGCAAGACTGTCCAAGCCAATGTTTATAAAGACAAACATTCTAATGTTACGTGAAACAAAGACTGCGAATATAAGACTCAAATCCATTACGAACGTTATATATATATATATATATATATATATATGTAGGAGAGCAAATCCATTACGAACGTTATATATATATATATATATATATATATGTAGGAGAGCTACTGATATATAAATATGTGATATTATTACGTCTGTTCTCCCACCCCACACGTACACGCCGCGCGACTATCCAATTTTCCAACCCGCGAGAGACTCTCTCTCTCTCTCTCTCTCTCTCTTTCTCTCTCTCTCTCTCTCTCTCTCTCTTTACGGCCGCATCATCCGACTTAAGAAAAAAATGAAAAAAAAAAAAGAAAGACTGCGCCTCTCCCACCTTTTCTTGATGCGATTAATGCGATTAATACCTAATACAATCTACTTGTCTTGATACTTTATATCAGCAAATTAATTACACCGATTAGTACAACTTCTGTTCTACTACGGTTCTACTACGTATATAGTTTCGTGCAAAAGTGGAAGGAGAGAATCTGGTGCTGAATCGAATCCTGTCGAGGTGAACCTCTCTTTCTTCTTCCCCGTGGCCGACCCCGATTTATCTCTCATTCATTCATATATATATATATGTATATATATATGTATGTATGTATGTATGTATATATTATATTTATACGCGCAATTATATATGTGTGTTCTCTCAGGGTCGGCCGAAAAAACCGCGAATTATACCGGATCATATGACGCGACATGAAACGAACGCGGCTTGGAAACGCGTGGGCAACGTATACATATGTATATATATATATGTGTGTGTATATATATATATACATATATATACGTGTCACACGAGGCTGTCCGCGCTGGATAACGCGAGCTCGTCGTTATCATGTTCGGAGATGACGACGTTTCGTGTTCTCAACGTTAGGCAACGTTCGGCTTTCATCTGTTGAATATTTGTAGGAAACCCGCTCTTCCGCACGGCAGCGCGACGATTTTCTTCTTCTCTCTCTCTCTCTCTCTCTCTCTACGGTGACGGTGTAGCAAGCACCGTACAAATGCAACATTGAGAGACATCGAGCGAATTTCACAGCGGGAGAACCCAAGAGAGACTACTCATTATATGCGCGTTTCGTAATTTCTTGATAGAGAAGGAAGGAGGAAAAACAGAAGAAAAGCAGCCAAGTGACTACGTTCTTTACGCAATATTTTTATCCCCCTCGAGTGCAATCGACAAGCGCATTAACCGGACGCAGATCGATCCTCGAGCACGGCTTGCTCGGCGGCCTCGATCGTCGATCATATCGGAGACAGCTGGCGAACGAAGCGCGATATGCCCGAGCGCGCGAACAGCCTCGTGTAACGTAATAACAACCCGTAATTGATTGGGCAGAACAAGCCGAGAGAGTTTTATGCTCAGGTAGACCGACCTGTGTAACTGGATCCTTCATGATTAGGACGTCGGTGACGGTGCCGAACATGCCGAAGTACTCCTTCAGCTTCTCGCTGCTGGTCTGCCAAGAGAGGCCGCCTACGAAGAGCTTCCCAGGTGCCGGGTCGCCCCCGTTCGGCGTACTCCTGCCGGAGCTGCCCGAATGGCTACCGTTGATCGGCATCAACGTGTTGTGGAAGTCGTGCTCGATCGCGCCGTTTGTCGCCTCCATGCCGGCGCTGTGGACAAACAGGCGTGTGGTCATTGCTGAGAGCACGCGAATAAGTCGCGAGCGAAGGCTCCACGTGTCCTCCCGACGGCATCTCGACGGGGTCTCTCTGTTATTCAGCGAGTCCCGTCGCGCAAACGAAAAATATGATTCATACATATTTAGGTATGATAATATATGAAAAACATATGGAAATGTTGCACGTATTATGTAATAATATTACATTTCACACGTGTAATATGAGGTAAAAAAGAAACACATAACAACATAATATTTGTAAAGGATATGTGCTGTATAAATTGTAAAAATAAATTTTTTTATGTACTTAATATGTAAATATAATATGAAAAAATATATTTTTATATTATATGACTTATATGTACATCTCGACATGTTATTATTAATTGCACTCTCCCGATACTTCCGATGTCTTTCCGTGGATACACTTGCATCATGTGTGTGTGTGTGTGTGTGTGTGTGTGTGTGCGCGTGCGTGCGTGCGATGCATAGGAGGCGCCAAATAAAGATGTATATTATTTCAGAGCCATCCGTAAGATACACGGCTCTCTGACACTTTGAAGTCCCGGTTTTCTTTCCGCCCTCACGGAATCCCTTTGATACGACATAAAACCCTTATTCCACCAACGTCGACGTATATCTCATTCTCGCCCTCTTTCTCTCCCTCTCTCTCTCTCTCTCTCTTTCTCAGCTAGATGTCCGAAATATTGAATAAAAATCCACCACTACCGCGGGGTGGTATGTGTTAACGCTCGCTCCGTGATTCAATACCAGTCGGATTCGCATGCGACGAGACAAGCGGAGAAATCGGATGCAACTATCGAACGTCATTGACGAAAGCGCTGCAGCATTGCAGGAACATTTATCGCGAGCGTGCACATACAAACACACGGGTGCGCACGTATACTCGTGCTATTCTTCCCTACTTCCCAACAGGTTTGAAACATTCAAATGTATTTACATACTTCAGCAGTTTTCGCGATACGGCCGAATTTACGGCCAATCGCAGCGCGACGCGGCGCTAGCATATTAATAATCATTCGCGTTCGTGCGTGCAGCCAACGTTGCGCTGCGTGGCAGTTGCAATAATTTTCTACTTATCTCCGTGTGCGCACAAGGTGAATATATTATAAACATACGTGTCATTAGTGTGTATTCGTGTACTTTTTAATATTTTCTCTCTTTTGACACTTATTGAAGTAACCAAAATTTCAGTGGGCCGTTTTCGACGTCAAATTTTGTACCGTGTAACTATCCTGCGCGGCGAAAAACATATTTTACTCGTACGTGAGAGTCGATTCTCGTGAAAATTTTCGTGTCGAACTTTTCACACACCCGTGTATTAATTTCACATATCGCGCTTGCTTTGTCTCAATATTTCGGGTTGAATCGATATTCAGCATGCGTAAGTGTTAAAATAACACATTTTACACTTCAGTGTCGACTAACGTATCGTGGATGTTAATTTTACGTTAATCTCTTTTTTACATATGTGTGACTTTTCAACGCATTCACATTGTCTTAAGTGAACGCGAAAATTTATGCGGGCTGCCCGAGACACCCTGAAGTGTGTTAAATTCAACACAAACTGTTTTACCGTAGAGAGAAAGGGAGAAAGAGGAGGGCGTGCATAAACGGCGCGACGGGCAGCGCGAAAATCGCTGGCGCTTTATCAATAAGTCCGCATTCTTTTGTTTCAGTTGATACCGTTTGTCTTGCTGCAGGCTTGCGTGATGACCGCCGTACCGCTGCTGGCCTATCACCGACTGTTCGTTACCACGATCGACGTGCAGTAAGTGTCCGCGCGCTTCCGCGACTCTTCCCACTCCTGCGCTTTAAGGGTGAAACACGAATATATATATATATATATATATATATATATAT